GTGTCTGTCTGCTTTTTTCTTACCTGCCTCATTCTTTCTGTTGATTTTTTCAAAAGTGGAAACTGTACAAGAGAACAAGCCTTTACGAATGTATGTGTTGGACCCAGTGGCGGAGGCAGGGGGGCTGGCAGGGACCCCGGCCCCAGCAGGAAATTTTTTTTCCAGCTCCTTTTCTTGTAAATATTGTAAAAATAATTAAAAATTTAATTTTGTTTCCTTAATTTTTAATTTGGCCCCCCTTAGTTTTTTTTTCTTACACCGCCCCTGGTTGGACCCATAATCTTTCGGCAACAAAAATTAATAGAGCATTAAAATCAAAACCAAAACGAAAACCAGAGGAGCGGGTGGTTTTAGTACTGCTACGGTTCAGTAAGAAACTAGAGAAAAAGTTCATGAATGTGCATGGCGTGCGTGGTCTAATCAGTAGAGACTTTCTGCAACCAGACGAAAAGTGTTCGGATCCTCGGAGGAACTTAACAAGCTAGGGTTGCAGAAGAGCAAGTCCTCCAAAATATTTCTAGTCTTCCCTGATCATATTACCTCCAGTTTCGTTACGTTCTTGAACAGTGGATATACTATAATTACTGCAGCATGACAGAATCAAAGCACATGCTTTCGTCGTTCATGACCGGACATTCTTCTTTTTATTAATTTTAAGAGTTAATTACAACTTTGTTCCACTAGTTTAATATGTAATAATAGAATTAATTATTAATTAATCTCAATGAAATTAAAAAAAAAATAGTAATTGAATAGCTCATTCAACATCCTCTATATTTAATAAGAAATAGGATATTTTCTTGTATATATCTTTACAAGTTGTGAGATATATGTGTCATCAATGGTTTGAGATTCACTGCATCACATCACATCAGTTTTTTTATCAATGAGAATCCATCTTATTTTTTTTAAGATAAAAAAAAAGATTCTATACATTGTGATCCATAAGAATCATTTTACAAAATATTCAAGATTGAAACTTGAACCCAAAACCTCCTTATATCTTAAGTATTTATCACTTGTGTACAAATTCTATTTTGATAGGTGTT